CCTTACATGATCAGGAAGTCCATGCAACGCTTTGTAAAATGTATGCACTGGGTATGTGTATCTTCAAACATTTTTTGAGGGGTGAATCTTTACAAATGATAATCATCATTAAAAAAGGACGTCTGCAAGGCCACACAAAATGTACAACAAAGACAGAAGGAGGCCCTGATGGGACAGAAGTCAGTCCCTTTGCTGAGTCGAAAAATCAATTTATTGGTCGCAAATGCGACCATTTTAGTCGCAACTTGGAGCACTGTGGTTCCATAATGACATAGGCATATAGTAAACGTAGGAACATAGATGATCTGGTTATTAGATCAAAACTCATATTAAATAAAATGCAGTGAAATTGAATGATATGTTCACTATAGGTGAGCCCCTCAACTACTCGGGCCTGAGACTGGACAAACCTTCCTCCAGTTCCAGTGAGTTTGCCAAAGTCCCAAAGACAGGTCCCCCCAGAGCTGAATCCCCTTTCGAAAATTTATTCACTCAAATGGAGACCCCAAGACACCTCCGAAACACTCTTAATTAGTCATGGTAATTTTTATTATCAAATTGTTTCAATAGTGAAGAATTCCAATTGGCTAAAAATATCGGTATTTCTTTTGCAGCATTTTTCTCTCATTTTTGTTTTATTTTACAGCTTTTATTTCATTTCTATATTCACATATTTGGACATGATTTTGTTTCCAACAAATGTTCATTTAAAATCTACATTAAGTTCTCTTAATGTACTTTATTTTTGATAAAAACTGATTTTGATGAAATTGTATGTTATAAAACTTGGTTAACAATAAAAATAAAATTTGAATCACTTTAATAAAAAATTTCTTTTTGCTCATATGTGAATGTGCATATTTAGCTGGTTAGGGCAGTTTACCTAACTATAGATCATTTAAAATTTTGGTGTCATAATTTATGATGAAATTGTTACAATACTTGTAATATATTGAATTTTTATTTTAGCTATGTTCTTTCTATTTGAATATCAGCAAATGTTGAAAAAAAGTTTACTCGCCTTAAATTTAATGGATAGCTAACAATTAAACAAATTAATATCACTGAAGAAATACTGCCTTCACTCTGTCCGCATTGTATCACAGAACTAAATATGTCCAGAGTGTACAGCCTCCTATTTCCCTACAGTCAGTAACTCAGTCAATAAACAAGGAATTTAATTCAGTCAATAGACAAGAAATTTAAATCATCAAAAGTTCAATAAAGAATTCCAAAATGTACTTATCTAAGGAATAACGCACTGTCAACATATTAATGAGTAATGAGATGTTTCATTAAATAAGTGGGATAGCATTCACCTGTAAAAGAGCCTTGTGCTTACATAAAAATATGTTATTAATTTTGCAAGAGATATATCATAATTCATTTCAAATCCTTTTGGATCTTTGAAGGCTACACCTCCCGGCAGACTTGACACACCATACAATTGAAAACATCAAGCTCAGGCTCCAGGGACATCTTGTTCTCTGGAGGTACAAAATCAGTTATAGTCAGTACACCTATAATTATACAGTATTGTAATCTGGACACTCATAAGCTATAGGAAATCATGTTATAATGTAACTCACGATTAACCGAAATATCGGTTAATCGCAATTCACAATCTTTCGGTTAATTGTACAAACGTCTGACATTCGATTCATTCAGGTTTGATTTTTTCTCTGTTTTTGCCGTTGTACGCACATTCCGATTGGTTAATCGGAAGAAATGATGGCAAATCATGTTAAAGTAAACAAAAACATGAAAATGGCCGCGAAGAAGTCGACGGTGGACTACTTCCAACTTCCATTTTCAACAGAAAGATGGCACAGAGGACAAATAGATTTACTAAAAGGTAACACCCATCAGCCTCATAATTCTGAATTTAGAGGAACCGACACAGTGCTGCGAATTTCCTTATTTCTTTTCAATATTGAGATCGTTATATGTGAAGTAATTATATCATGGTGAAGACATTATGGTTTGATCATGATTTGTAAATGAAAAATTTAAATCACAACAGTAAAGCTGACGTTACTATTACAACAAAACAGCCTTTTGTAAAATCACCAATACTTTTATGTTTATATAATTAATATGAAATCATTGGTTTTGTTTGAAAGATTTGTTTGCATGTTTCATCTTTTAAAACCAATGACCAGTATTTTTATTAATTTGGATTTCGGCATTTTATTCTTAGGTCATACTTAATATTTTTAATTAGAACATTAGGTATTTTCTTTGTTTTCTTGGCTTTACATTCTATTTTATCTTAATAAACCTTATAAAAGTATGAATCATTATTTATTAAAGAATGTCTTATGATTATGATGATCAAAGATTCAGATTTTATACAAAAATTAAAAACAAAGATCTATTTCTTTTATACGAAATTTTCGAAAATCGAGGTTTTTATTAATTAACTAAATTAATTTTCTGATTGGCACTATTATACTATCAGAGATTAGCAGTAGTCAGTGGAAGTATGAAACTCAGTCATACCCATAGGAAACTCTGTTATACTCATAGAGACTACCAGTATCTCAGTGGAGGTAGGAAACTCTGTTATACTCACTGGGGAGGTATAAAACTTGGTTAATTCATAGTGAAGGTAGGAAACTCAGTTATACTCATAGGGACTACCAGTATCTCAGTGGAGGTAGGAAACTCAGTTATAGTCAAAGAAAACTCAGTTATACTCATAGGGACTACGAGTATCTCAGTGGAGGTAGGAAACTCAGTTATACTTATAGGGGAGGTAGGAAACTCAGTTATACTCATAGGAAACTCAGTTATACTCATAGGGGAGGTGGAAAACTCAGTTATACTCAAAGGGGAGGTTAGAAACTCAGTTATAATTATCTCATTGGAGGAAGAAAACTCTGTTATACTCATAGGGTATTACTCATAGGAAACTCAGTAATACTCATAGGGACATCGTCGGAAACCCACGATGATCTCATCTTTACTTATCACCCATGGGCAAACTTGCCGAAAAATCGTCGTATGTAATTAAATATGCGTGGGTCATTTGATTGGATGCTTCACAGAGTCATGATGCCAAACAAGGAATTACAGTTCATGTTACGTATGCATGTTTGGCATTGCCAAAAATATGAAAAACTCATTCCGTAGTTAACATAGCTGATAAATCCACTCACTGGGGCATTTTGCAGTTAGAAAGAGGTACTCCTATACAATATCTGACAGATATTAATGCCAGTGACCTGTACGAATTGACTTTCATTGTTTTAAATCAAACTTCGCATGTTTTAACGAGTGTCAAAATATTTACCATAATTAGCAAAGTAATAAACATATTTTTCAAAATTGAACTTTCTGATTAGTTGACTAAAAACAACAAATTAGCATATTTTACGGTGATATTTCAGCTAGTTTGCCCACGGGTGATAAGTAAAGACGAGATCACCCGTGGGTTTCCGACATTATTAATCTACAAACCAAAAATATTTTAATAATTATCATAAAGTTACACTGGTGAAAACCTGCATTTGTTTCGCTTCCAAAGGTAGATTAAATTTAAAATTCCAATTATTAATTAATTTGTTCAAATATTAAAAAAGTGAATTTTTCATGTATCCATGGCTAGATCATTTTTTTTTACTACGATGCAAAACTGACATTAACCGGTAGATACATGTATGTGTATCAATTACCAAGGTAATTATTTTCTAAATTTAGTATCAATTCAAATAAGTTGTTATATAATGTATATCAAGAAAAAAAATAAAACTGCAGTTACCACGGTAATAGTTCATGAAATGTAAATTACGCCTGTTTGACATCTTTTAATAAAAAAGCAATGCATAAATGCAGCTGTCAAACAATTCTAATTATCTCCTGGACCAACAGTGTGCATTCAGACATGAAGCAATTTCCCTGTAATCCAATGTAATTTTCACATTTATCTGTGCATTACGTTAACAGAGGATCGAGAGACTGGCTAATTTGGCACAGATTTTTCATGCTTCTTATTCAAGGTCCGTGTTGAATGTTCTTGCATCTCAATATTATTGTTAATATTAGAGTTATCAATTTTACATGTATATTTATTTCTTGTAAAATACAGGTATAGATCGAGGAATTAATAATTTGAGTTACAGATTTCGATTTTAAAAAAAAAGACCTGGAATTTCACTGTTTTTTAATATGGTGTTTGAATTTTAAGTGGACCAACGATCCACCTAGCTAGAACATTTGGTAGACCTTCCAATTTTTTGGTGGACTCGGGCCTTTGTTTACCGTTAGTAGAGCTGCCAACCCTTACGATTTTTGCGTAAGGCGTACGAAATCAGCGTTTAAAATACGCCTAACGATTTCTCTCTATATTCTTCCGATTTCAGTTTTTCTCGTTCAAAGATTATAATACCGGTATTTTCATAGCTGGCAGCCTATAGTTTCTATCATTATAATATATTCATAATCCTTACAGTCCCGTGGGGATCCGGGTTAGAATAGGTCCTCAGTACCCCCTTGCTTGTCGTAAAAGGTGACTAAATAGGGCGGCCCTTCGGATGAGACCGTAGAAACCGAGGCCCCATGTCACAGCACGTGTGGCACGATAAAGATCCCTCCCTGCTCAAAGGCCATAAGTGCCGAGCATAGGCCTAAATTTGCAGCCCTTCACCGGCAATGGTGACGTCTCTATATCAGTGAAATATTCGGGAGAGGAACGTTAAACAGTATACAATCAATCAATCATAATCCTTACAACGCTTGCTTGTATCATTGTTTCGGTTTTAGAAGGCCGATCACATTCATGTCAATGTTTTAAAGTAACCAAAATGGAAACATGCCTCAGATTGCATGTCCATTTACAAAACATCTTCAGCAGCAGGGGGCATAGGTATTCCCTAGACCCCGCCTTACTATTTGTTATTTAAGAATGTTGGCAGCTCTGCGTTAGTGTCGAACCCTGTAATCTACAGTAGTTACTTAATATTTTTGCAGATGAGTTTAGTTAATGACCATTTATTTTATTTTTATGAATGACATAGTTTGCCATGATTTGGAATGCAATATTTAGGTTTCATTGATTGCTTTGCAGCTTGAAGTTTAATTGAATTACAAAAATGGAGGTCATCAGCATTGTCATATTCTTCATGATTGGTTTCTTCATCTGGTATTGTTGTGGAGGATCTTCATCAAAATCTGCCTCCTACTCCTCCCCCTCTTCCTCGGAGAACAAACTTTACCCCGACCTGAGTAAGATGAAGAGTAACAGCATGTTCAGTATGTTTGGGGGCAGTAATTACTCCAGTTTCGTGGACAGGTTTACCTCATTAGAGGATGTCACTACAGCAGTCAGAAAGGCTGGGCTAGAAAGCTGTGGTCTGATATTTGGTAAGTCTTTGGAATTAACAGATATCTACCTTGTCTTGTTGGTTTGAATAATGAAAATATCATATATAATGCTAATATTAAGTAAAACATTTTATAGATATTTTTGTGTTTTATTTTTTTGTTTTGCTGTGTTTGAAATACATGTACATGTACAGTATTATATATACATATTGTTAAAGATTCCAGATTTGAGAACTTGTAACTGACCAAGTTAAAAGTATGTAAGCTATAAAAACATTTTGTAGGAACAGATTTTACATCAAGTAATATGTACCAAGGGACTAAGACATTTGGAGGGAAAAGTCTTCACAGTATAGACCCCAGGGAACCTAACCCCTATCAGAGGGTAGGCAAGGCTCATAGACTAAAAACTAACAAAAGTCCTGCTAATCAATGTGATGCAAACAGTCAAATGTTAGTCAGAAGTAATTAAAAATTGGGGGGTACCAATCATCCTAAACTTGTAGCCTTTTCTGTGAAATTTTGCAAAAAAGGATTCTTTCTGTAAGTGTCAAGGAGTATCAGTATATGTTTCACAGTGTAACACTGTAATATAATCGTACATGTATTTCAAATGCATGCACAACATTACACACAATTGCTTATCAAATGGTTCACCCCTACCAACCAGCAATTCTAGACATTGTGACCTTTGTGTACTTGACAGGTATAGATTATACTGCCAGTAATGCCTATCAGGGTCAGAGAACTTTTGGGGGACAGTCCCTCCATTCTATCGGCAAGATGTTTCTTAATCCATACCAACAGGTACTACTAATTCACAATACAGCTTCATTTTGTTATTCTTTATTTTGGATTTGGTCTATTGCTTTGTTTTAATATCACAATTATAAAACTAAACATGAGGCATAAATGATCAATGGAATAAGTAGCAATTAAGTTATTTTTAGCTAAAGGTGTGGCAATATTTTGACCATTGCTTGAATAGTGGGAAAGCATGTGTAGTTTGCATCACATTCTATGGCTTTAAGGACAGTGAGGGACATTAAAATCTGGGTTTTCTAAATTAATTTAATCGTTTAAACAAGAGTTATCTCTCCTCTCTATAAGTTTGAACTATCTTTCTTAACAATTCATAGTGGGCTCTTCCTCTCAAGTTAGAGTTATTTTCTTTTGTAGAGGGACATTTCTCTTTATGCTAAAGTTATGTTTTTTAGCCAAAGGCCACTTTTCTTTAAGCTAGAGTCATCTTTTTAAGCAGTGGGGCACTTCTTTTTAAGATAGAGTTGTCTTTCTTTACAGAGGAGTGTCTCTTCTTAAGCTAGAGTTATCTCTCCTACTAGATGATGTTACTAACACTGTTACATCTTAAGTTAGAGTTATCTCTCCTACTAAATGATGTGTTACTAACACACTCTCTACCATCGGCTCATACATTCACCTCTGTCGTTGGCTCGCGTATACACAGTGTTAAACACGAGAAATAGTGCGTTTGTTTTAATTCATTACATTTCAATTTCTATGCTTATGTCTGAGTTTTGAGATAGATATTTACTAAATCAATCCAGATATATTAATTTAAATTGAAACAATTCTCCAAATATCATGTTTTATACGTTACGTCAAAAATCTTGACGTGAGCCCATTGCAGAGGTGTTTGAGAGAGGAACGAACGACAACTCTGCATAGGAGATTGTTACTAACACTGTTACATCTTAAGCTAGAGTTATCTCTCCTACTAGATGATGTTACTAACACTGTTACATCTTAAGCTAGAGTTATCTCTCCTACTAAATGATGTGTTACTAACACTGTTACATCTTAAGCTAGAGTTATCTCTCCTACTAGATGATGTTACTAACACTGTTACATCTTAAGCTAGAGTTATCTCTCCTACTAGGTGATGTTAAGCTAGAGTTATCTTTTTTAGTAGAGGGATATGCCTCCCTAAGCTAGAGCTTTTCTTTGTAGATCACTTCTTTTTCCTGTTGCTCTCTCCTTTACGGCATTTTTTCTCGATACTCAATACAGTAAAACTCGGTTGGGGACCTGTGAATTTAATTCGCTATATCCGTAATTCATTATATCCGTATAACGAATTCCTATAATCATTATAGCGAATTCGCACTATGCATGTTTTCTTTCAAGTATTACTTGCAACTATGTTTACTTAGTGAAGCAAATATAACAAAACATATCTTCGATAACTAAGGTTTTCTTATGAATTGAGTTTTTTTATATGCTAAAAGGAAATAAAGTAAGTTCAATTTATCTTT